GTGCAGCCCTGGCGTTTCTGCGTCCTAAGCGCCTTTTCTTAGAAGGACATCAGCCAGATTGGAGTAGAGCCCACCCTAGTGGCTCCTGGTGATGTGATCGCCTCTGTAAAAGCCCCGTCTCCAAGCAGAGTCCCCTTCTGCAGCACTGTGAGCTGGGGTTTCGACTCGTGAACTTTGAGGGAGACACAGTTCCTTCCCTAACGTGACCCCACTTCAGTCTGCCTGAGACTCCCAGCCAAAGGACTACACTCAGTTCAGGATAAGCATTTGTTATAAAGTGGTTTTGCTTATTGATTTGGCTGTGCTGGGTCTTCATTGCTGCTTGGGCTATCCTCCTGTCGCAGGCCCAGGCTCTGGAGCATTCGGGATGCGGCGCGCAGCAGGTGCGGCATGAGGGCTCAGTGGTTGTGGCTTCCAGTTCTGCAGCGCAGGCTCAGTGGTGGCTCCCATGGGATCTTCCCAGACCAGGGATTGAACCTATGTCTCCTGTGTTGGTGGGTGGATTCTTTACCACTGAGCCAGCCGGGGTCAGGTATTAAATAAATATGTAGAGATGATCTGCCTCTTCCTGAAAAACTCCTGGTGAAGTAAGAGAACCTTTTCAGGGTGAAAAATGCAGGCTTGGGGGTGAGGGCAGAAGAGGTCCGATGGTGTCTTCCTGGCTGTGGGACACACGCTGGGATCATCCTGGCTAGAGGCAAAGCCAAAACTAATGCGTCGCTCAACCTGTAGATGACTGTCCCGAGCCTGCCTAATCTGAGTCAGCTGAGTCTGAGTTCTGGCTCTCAGAAGCCAGCAGTGCAGATTTTAGGGGAATGTCAGAAAATGAGGCAGCTGTGACAGTGACAGGAAATTAGTCAAGAGTGATTGTCCCATTCCTTTTGATGATTTATAAATCATCTGACTATCTCACATTTGCTGGAGGAAGCAGTGCTTTAATATTCGGAAATGTGTTCATTTTCCCCTGAATTAAAAAGAAAAAAACTTCAGTATATTCAAGCAAAGTGGTGTGTTTTTCAGGAATCGTTACTCTAAACAGCATTTTTTTTGTCTAATGGTCAGAGGCAGTGGGGCTTGTGGGTGGCTGGAGGAACACAGGGCTAGGCCTGAGAACCTCCGCTGCACTTCCCAGAGACAGTGCCTGGGGAACAAAATGTGACCTCTCTCTCCTTCCCGTAATTGCCCGAGTGTCTCTACAACCTTCCTTCCCTTTCCACTTCACTCACCAACCTGTTAAGTTTCTGTAATATTAACCAACTCAGGAATCTAAAGTTGTGTCAATATCTCACTGCTCTCCAAAAGAGGCTGCCTAAAATATATAGCAGAGGACTGTTTTCCCTGGTACTAAGTAGGAAGGTGAATGACTGTTTGCAGGTCATTGAAAGGTCATGCACATACTTCTGAAATTTCCTTTCTCATAGTGCTTTTGGTCCAAAGGGAAAATGACCAGGCCATGACTTTGTGTCCTCAGCATCCCTTCTCTTTGGGCAGAGGTGAACCAGGACCTAAAGGGTAGATGCCCGTTGTTTTTGTCTGCTCCGTACCCACTTTTCTTCCTTGGTGAGAGCCCTTTGATTTTCCTTTGAGGAACTGTCTCTGCTTCTTCTCTGTGGCTCTTGGGCTGAGACATGACCTAGGCTTGGCCAAAGTGAACACTGCCTCATGTGGCCACAGTGGTCATCTGAGGGAGGGCACGCTCCCCAGGCATGTTGATTCAGGTCTGGGAGTTTAGTGGCGTAATTGTGAAAGTGGCACTCTCTACAAGAATGCTAAGCTGGAAGAACAGAAGTTTGAAGGTGCGAGGGGCCATTGCAGAGACACTGGAACTTGGCAATGAAGTAACAGTGGGAACAGAATTGGATGGGAGTGGAAGGGGGGAGAATGAGAATGATGACGTTGTGTGTGGCCCTTGATCCAGCTGTTCCTGAATGGGACTGTAACTTGAACTTCCTGGTTAGATGAGCCAATAGTTCCTCCCATCTCTCTTATTGTCTCGATTTCAGTCTCCCTCCCCTGCATCCCTTTCCCTTGCTCTCTTTTTTTCCCTTAGTGCAGCTTCAGTTGGGTGTCTTGCAGAGGCAACGTAAACAATCCTGCCTATAAAGGTCGTCAGCTCTTTGCTGCACTCCCCTGCCAGAGGAGGCAGGAAGTGACCGAGTAAAGCGGACGGGAGAAGGTAGTGAGCCCTTCCTTTTTACAGTACGAAATCCTTTTACCTTTGTGTGCGTCCTGGCAAGGGCAAGCCCACTCTGCACAGGGAAAAAGCAAGATGCTTACTGTCCGAGAAGGATGAGTGTGGGAACTTTGGGGATGCGTATGGTTGGGGACAGGGAGGAAATTAGTATAGCTGAAATGCAGGCTTTGCAATGCAGGTAACTCACAGGCAGCCCCAGAACTCAGATCACACAAGTCATCAGCAGGTTTGCACAGTACCTTTATTACTGCTCCCTCTTGATGGTTCCTCCCGCATAATTATTATTCTGTAAGCTTTGGAAATTTTCTTTGTACAGTTAGTATCAGGCTATTTCTCATTTTTACTTTCCTGTTTTGTTTTTTTTTTTTTACCTTCTTATTCCAAAGTCACCATCTGACTGTTTTACAGTAGAGATTTGTGTGCAGCTTAAATCAATTGCTAAACATCAAAGAGTCCTGTGCATATTAATAGAGTGTTGCAGGGAGCGGGTAACTGCACATAGGGTTGGAATTTTAAGATCTGTAATAGTCAACTCTGCATAAATGGAGGAAGAATGTGATTTCTTGCCTCTGTTTCATCAGGTGTGGCTCAGACAGGAACACCTGAATCTTAGGAGAAGGGAACTTGAGTGTTTAGAAAGTCTATGCAGTTGCTCAAAGGTTTCCTAATGTTATGGACCAAATGTTTCTGTCCCCCCGAAACTCTTATGTTGAAATCCTAATACTTAAGTGACTGTATTAAGATGGTAGGGGACCTTTGGGGTGACTAGGTTACTAGGGTGGAACCTTTATGATTAGGATTGTGCCCTGATCAAACGGACCCCAGAGAGCTCTCTCATCCCTTCCACTGTGGGAGAATTCAGTAAGAAGACCACCTCTCATCAGACACTGAACCTGTCGGTGCCTTGACTTTGGGCCACCGACTGGTTCTGGTCCATGGTCCATTAGGACCTAGGCCACACAGCAGGATGTGCGTGGCTGGTGAAACCGAAACCATCCTCCCCTGCTCCACCCTGGCCCATGGAAACATTGTCTTCCACAAAGCTGGTCCCTGGTGCCAAAAAGGTTGGGGACTGCTGGACTGAGACGCCTGATGTGTTGGTCCTTTGCTCGCTTTTGCCCCGCCCTCATCACCTTTTTGTGCTGGTTGTGCCAAAGCTGGCAGGCGCTAAGACCCAGCAGGCTGTCTCCTGGACTCCTGGCCCAGCTGGCTGGGATGAGGTTCTGCAGGTGGGGGCCCCTGGCTGAGCTGAGGGGAGGGGCAGAGGGAATCCTCTCCTGTTTCCATCTTCTGTTGGCTTTCTCTAGCAAGAGTGAGCCGATACTGGACGCGATCTTCTGGCAGCTCTAGGACTTGCATTGCAGAGCCTCTGTGGGTCATGGCCCCGGCACCTGACCCTGTGGTGTTTCCATGGTGATTCCCACAGGTCCTGGCCCCTTCTCTACAGTTACGGATAGGTTAACATCTCCATTTGGTGTTTGCAGCCTTAGGTGTGGTGTGGTGGGCTCTACTGCGCCCCACCCCCAATTTCTACATTGACGTCCGAGTGCCGCGTTACCTCAGAATGTGTCTGTGTCTGGAGATAGGGTGCTTGAAGAAGTCATGACGTATAAGGTCATTAGGGTGGACCCTAATTCAACGTGACCCATGCCCTTATGAGAAGTTAGGACACAGACACACACAGAGGGAAGTCCATTGAAGACGCAGGGACAGGATGCCGCCTACAGGCCACGGAGAGAGATCTCAGAAGAAGCACCTTGGTCTCAGCCTTCCACCTCCGTGACTGTGAGAAAGGAAACCTGTGTTGATTAAGTCACCAGGTCACGGAATGTGAGCTGCCCCCGGGAGGATGCGTGACCTCAGGTAAGGCAGTCTTCCTGGTGGAGGGCAGAGGGACGCGGCTGTGGGCTGTCAGCAGGCAGTGCTTCTAGCAGATTCTACAGGCTGAAGGGGAGCGGCGACGGCCCGCCACGGTGTCCGCTAGGATGGGGCTGGCGAGAGTTCTCAGGGACTCAGTACAAGTCACAGTGTCTTGAGATAGGGTATTTTTTTAAAAAAACATTTATTTGTCTGCCTTGTGTCTCGGGTGAGACGTGAGGGATCTTTATTGCATGGCGCAGGGCTCTGGCTCTCTAGCTGTGGCCTGCAGGCTTGGTTACCCCGAGGCATGTGGTGCCTTCAACCTGAGTCGCCTGCATTGCAAGCCGGATTCTTAACCATTGGCCAACCAGGGAAGTCCCTTGGGATGGTATATTTACATGTCTGCCTGACACTGGGACCACGTGAACCTTCTGACACCGTTTGTTGTCTCTGCATCACCCAGGAAAAGCACGGTCCACAGCAGGTACCTGATCGCTGTTGAATTTAGTGAAGGAAAGATATTTACTTGTTTTACCTAGCAATTGCAGTGGGCAGGGAATTTTAATGTGTCATGCTCTCCTTTGAAAATGGGCTTTAAAATATCGCATTTTTATTTCGTCCCATTCTGGAGAGGCTTCTGGGACTTGGGCTCTAGAGTATAAAAGGAGGGCAGATTTGGGGCGAAGCAGGGAGCCCGAAGGCGTACCTGGGGAACTGGTGATACGCAGGAGCAGAGAGGCGCGTGTTGGCGATGGCACTGGGTGGGAACGGCGAGCTGCTCTCTGGGCAGTCTCCCCCCTGCGGCCGTCTGTCTTCATGGGCACAGGGGCTGGCATTCAGGGCAAGCTTTTGCTTAGCTGCCTCTGCTTCCAGCTGGCCCCACAGTCAGTAGGCCGTGGACTCCCCACCAGGATCAGGTAAGAGAAGGAGTTGACAGGCGGCAACATCAACAGGAAATAAAACATTTTTATTGAATATCCATGTAATATGTCAAGTCATTGTTAACAACAATCAGAAAACTACTGTGGAATTCACTACACGAAATGAAACAAAATTTAAACCACCTCATCAAAAATGAAGGTAAAATACAGCTAAAGTAGTTGGCTCGCGGGCCACGAGCCATATGGCAGAAGAAAACACCCCAACATTTCTACAAGATACAGAGAAAATCCACACAGAGAAGCACTCAAGCAGGCAGTAAATATACACAAAGGCAACGAGGATCGTTCCAGAGCATCAGATTCTAGTACTTTGCACAGCTTTGTCAGAAGGGTACGTGTGGCTTATTGGAGGATGAGTCTCGGTCTTGAAGCAGGATCGGTCACTGACTTATGATGGGTGGCGTAGTACCAACTGATTCTATGGTGACAATATCCCATGTCTGGCAGTGTTGCAAGAGAACGCATTAGTCGTGCTTTAACGCAAGAAATGGTGTGTACTTGGCAGCTCGAACCTGCTTGTTTCAAAATGTTTGTTTCGGTGCGAACAACTTAGAGCTGAATACGGTGAACTCAAATGTCAATTTCTGACATTCAAGGAACTTAAAAAAGTCAGTCAACTCCCTCGCTTTGGTAGGGTCTTATCTTTTAAATCGGAAGGAGTCTCATTTGAATCTTTTTTTTAAAGCAGGTGTTTAATCTCACATCAGGACTTGTGCATTTTCTACTGTCTACTTTTTGAAAAAAGTGTGGCGCATCCACAGAATGGGGAGGTGTTATTCTCCCCTCGCCCTTCAGGTCTATCCCAGTCCCAAGGCATCTGCTACGACTGGGCTGAAAGGCCAAAGGGCTGGCCTCTGCTTTGATGAGGAGAGAACTAGACAAGAATTCTAGTTTTCTCAGGAAATAGCCAGCCCTACGATTGAAGCTTCCCATTAGCCCTTTTTGAATTCTTTTTGAGGTTTTAAGAACCGTGGCACGAAATCCAAAAGCCTGAACGTGAGGCTAATGCTTAGCTTCCTTCCATTTTGTTTTGGTATTTTTGAAGACAGACTTTCCCTTCAGAGCATTCCTACACTCTCTGGCCTGGGAGGGAGAAGGAACCACAGAGGCTGGTGGGAGAAAAGGCTAGATGCAGTGTGAGATCAGAGGCTGCCCTTGGGCGAAGTGGTGGTCTACTGCAGCGGGGATCAGTATGGTATATTGCACAGTGCTTGACAAAAAGCTGTGTGGTCCACCTCATGCTTCGTATCACTCTTACCCTATGCATAGCGTTTCAGTGCTGAGTTGGTCCTTTGTAATGAGAACTGTTTGTGCTACACACACCTTGGGCAGTGCAGTAGGAGGGAATGGCAGTATTGTCACAACATCACTAAGGAATAGATTGAGTGCTACCCACTGAGGAAACTACGTTAGGTGTCTAAGCACATACGGCAGTCACAGTGTACGCAGAGCAGTCCTTTAAGACTCTTATGGAATGACTAGTAGCTTCATAATAGTGCCATTCACTACAGAATAACAGTGAAAACATTTAAAAACTCCTCCTAAATCAAGCATCTAGTATACATAAGAGGTTGCTTCAGTTTTCTAGAACTTGTTCTTGGTTGTGTTTCACCTTTTTTTTTTTTAAAGGACAAATTAAAACTTATTTACGTAAAAAGAGCATATAAAAAGTTCGCTAGCTAGCTGTCTGTTTTGGCTTAATGGAAGTGCATTCAGAACTATGGCTAATTCTTTCCTTCCTCTTTTGATGGGATTACAATACTGTCTGTTTGCCACAAAGTAATTTTGTGTCGTAAGCACAGATTGCTGTGTTAAAAATATTCTGCATTCCTTCTAATCTGATATAATAAAATATTTTGTTATGAAGTCTGATGTGCAAACCTTTGGAATCATTGTAGGTGTGACAGCTGGAACCGAATTCACAGGGTGCACATTGTGTGTGAAGGTGAGAACGGAGAGCTGCTTTTCTCTTTGAATGGTCAGGCAACATTTCAAAATGCCGACTTCTCTCCTCTGCTTCCTTCCTATCCCTCCCAGCCCCAGACAAATGCAGGTGTGTACACACACGCACACGCACACACGCGCAACACCATCATGGCGTTACTCTGCAGTAACATGGAATCATTGACCACTGCTCAGTCGCTTCCTCGAATGTCAGAGTAAGCTCTGACTTGAGCCCTGTAGATATGCACAGATGGATGCCATTCTGTTTGTGGCTGTAATTCCTGGAGGTCACGCTGGATGCTGCTCAGATCATGCTAATTTGCCTGTGAAGAAGTTCTACAAAACTGGATTCACCCACCGAATTTGTGGTGTAAGTGTATCTTGGTGCTCATATCATTCAATAGAAAGCTCAGGTTTAAGTTGTCCTTTAAGATGTCAGTTTCACTGTACTAGTGCCTTACAAGTTGAGATTTTTGCTGGAATGCAGATGATACTCTATTTACCGTATAATATATTATCAGCTCTCCTATATCTCAGTCAATTTACATAGTTTAAAATAGAACATCTTATTAAAAACATCTAGATATACACAGATTAGGAAACGCTTACAACATACAAATACACAAACTAGAAATAAATCTTTAGCATACTGGTATATACAACGGTGTGATACAATAAAGAATTTCCGTCATGCTCTATCTACACATCATATTGCTTAAAAGAAGAGTAGATTTGGAGGGCAGTGGTATGATGAAGGGCTTTGGGGCTCTCTACATTTAAATCTGTGCAAATTAAAACAGGGTTTGAAGTACCACTGAATTGTGATAGGAACGCATGGCTGGAAAGATGAAAGGACCCATATTACTGAGGTATTTACAGATACTGGCTAAGGAGCACTATGTGGGCAGACACAGAAAGGCTTCTTCTCCCTTACTTCTTCACTGCCAGCATGGCATCAACTTCCTCCTCCACCTGCAGGGTGTGCCACTGGGCGATGGGGCGCCGGGGGTTGGCCAGCATGTCTGACCAGTGTCGCAGCTCCGCCCCAGTGCTGTTGTAGCCCACGAACACCTTGCCGATGGCATCGTTCTTGCCAATCTTGTCATAGTCCAAAACAGTTACCACCACTTGCACTTTCTGAGAGAGGACACAAAATAAACATTAATCATCCAGCCCTAGAGATAAAGTCCTACCACCAAGCTTCCTTGAGATCTAAGCAATTGGGAGATAAGAAGCAATCTGCAAGTACCAGGACAAGGCTGAAAATGACTCGGAACATAACACAGGTCCAGTCCCTCTTGTCATTATTACATCATCATCATCTTCAGTATCTTCAAAATACTTAATGTTCATTTTGGCACAATTCTAAGACTGCCATGTGAGCTGCTCAGTTACATTAAAGTGAAAGTGAAAGTGAAGTCGCTCAGTCGTGTCCGACTCTTTGCGACCCCATGGACTGCGGCCTCCCAGGCTCCTCCATCCATGGGACTTTCCAGGCAAGAATACTGGAGTGGGGTGCCATTTCCTTCTCCAGGGGATCTTCCCGACCCAGGGATCGAACCTGCACTGTAGGCAGACACTCTACTGTCTGAGCCTCCAGGGAAGTCCAAACATTAGATCCTGTTAACTGCTGTCATACAGATAAGATGCTAAAGCTCAGAGAAGTTAAATCACCTGCCTGAAGGTATATAAGAAATGAGTGGTTTGGTTTCTGGAGTTCATGCCACGCCGCCCATGTCAACTTGTGTTCACTGTTAAATCCATTTGTTTCCATTGTTTTATCAACAAAATTTCTGACATTAGTACTCAGATCTTTGTGTGTGTGTGTGATACGTTTTCAAAGCAATCATATACTACAATCCTATTTCAGGTGGGAAGAGCCAGCAGAGTTTTGTTTAAAACTACTGTAGAATTTCAGCTAATCAATGATTATTGTGAGTATAAAATGTGACAATAGAGTGAAAGTCTTCGGTAAGTAGTACTTAACTAAAGATAATTTTTCTCATTCATAAATTATCTCAATAAACACAAAGTAACTGTGTATCCGGCATTGACATCAAATGGAAATAACCCTTTAGGCTGACAAGATTTACTCCAGTGATTCCATTAGGTTGTGAGGGTTTATTTTATTTTTTCCAAACTTTAAACTTATTATTTTGTACTGGGGTGTAGCTGATTGCCGATGTTGTGGTTGAGTTTCAGGGGAACAGCAAAGGGACTCAGCCACACATACACATGTATCCGTTCTCCTCTGGACCCCCCTCCCATCCAGGCTGGCGCATGACATTGAACAGAGTTCCATCTGCTGCACTGTAGGCCCTTGTTGGTTATCCATTTTGAATATGGCTGTATGTTCATGACCTTCCCAAGGTCCCTAATTATCCCTTCCCCCTGGAAACCGTAAGTTTGTTTTCTAAGTCTGTGAGTTTCTTTCTGTTTGGCAAGTTCATTTGTATCATTTCTTTTTAGATTCCACATGGAAGGGATGTCGTATGATCTTTCTCTTCTGTCTGACTTACTTTATTCAGCAGGACACTCTCTAGGCCCCTCCATGTTATTGCAGGTGGCATTATTGCCTTCTTTTTAATGGCTGAGTAATATTGTGATGGCGTATTTAATGCCTTACTTTTTTGAACTGGTGAAAGAAAATCTATACCAGTTTGACATGAAAGAAACACTTTACATCTTAGTTCTTTCTAAGTAACTGATTTGCTTAGTCGAAATAGGCAGCGGTTCCAATCTAGAACCCAAGGGAAAAGATAAAGGAAAAATTTAGAGAAAAGAGGAATTTATAACGTTTGGTGGCCAGAGTCAAAAGAAGCAGAAAATGTAACGATGGCAGCCAGGGCCAGATGGAGACCCTGCGCGGCTGTGGCCTTTCACTGCTCTGTCTGAGGATTGCGTTCTGTACAATCATCCTGAGAGAGGCGCCCACACAAAGCTTCCGATCAGAGAAAAAGATCACTTCTGAAAGTGGAATTGAGAATGTAGAATGCACCACACGGGCAGTAAAGGAAGCTAATTTCCACTTTGTGCAGCTTTGGATTGATGCCATTATCAAGAGCATCACCTATTTACTGGATGGCATTTGGGACCAAGAGCAGCATTATGGTCGTTCTGAGCACTTTTCCCAAGCGAATTTGTCTAGATGCCATCTCATTGCAGGAAAAGGGAGCAGAGACACTTAGGCACATCGTGGACAAAGGGAACAAGGGTTTTGGAGGTTGGAGTGAATAGTTGGAGTGAGTTTTGGTTGTTTCACCTTGGAACATATTCATTAGTAGCAACCAAGACAAAATACCCTTATAAGGGACTTGTGTTAATATTTCCAGCTGTGTTTGTAATATATACATTTTTTGGAAGGGGGGGTGGTTTGCTACATTTTCATGTGATTTGGGGAATCAGTATATTTTGCTTCTTTCATGTTTCATGTGGATAGAGGCAGAAAGACACTCTTATAACCTCAGGATAAATGAAACCCAAGTCCCTATCACAGCATGTTAAATGCTCATTTTCTCTAGGGAAATGCAAAGCTTAGGTAAGCAGCCTCTTGGGAGAAAAAAGAGCAAATTGACTCAAAGAACAGAGAAGACAGGAAACAGTCAAAGGCGTGCTCATTATTTTCATGCCTCATGGACTCTGTATCAGGCTTTCTCTGTCCTGACAAAATGTTATCTTCTCTGAAAGGCTGCCCCAGAAACCCAGCACACATCTTTTTTCTAATGTGCTTCATTTTTCAATACGTTTGCATTTGCTGAAATTTATAGTTGAAAAGGGACATGTATTTTTTTTTTAATGTATAGAATTACAGCTCCAAGGAATAGATTTACAATAGGACTTTTTATTTTAATGTCCTGCCTTATATAGTTTTGTGGAATTAAAGCCAAAATGCCAGGAGGTGTTAATTTCCATAGGACTAATGTCTCAGAACTAAAAAAAAAAAAAAAGAGTTCATCAAGTAAATACTGCAAAGTAAATTGTCAGAGAAGTTTTGGATGTCTTAATTTGCCAGTGGGTCCAAAGCAGTGAACTCACTGGTTCAGACTAGTAAACAAGTGACTGGGGACAGGGAATCTTCTGTGATGTCTTCTACTGTAGAACAGCTATGGAAAGTAAATAAGCATGTACAATCTGCTGACTTGTGAAAATATATATAAGAAAGGTTATATAAAAACTGTGAGCTGATGTGAGGATGGTGGGGTTATTGGCAGTTAAAAAAAGTGGCCTATATTATACAGTAGCTACCAGCCACAGGTGCTTAGTCGCCTCGGGTATGTCCGACTCTCTGAGACCCTAAGGACCAGGGCCTGCTAGGCTCCTCTGTCCATGGGATTCTCCAGGCAAGAATACTGGGGTGGGTTGCTGTTTCCTTCTCCACAGGTAGCTGTTTAAATAAATTTAAATAAAATTGAAGTCCCTTGTTACACTAGTGGTTAAGGTGCTCATGGCCAACCTAAGGCTGGTGGCTGCCACACTGGACAACATGGATATTTCCATCCTTACAGAATTCTGCTGGACAACGCTGATTTACATAGTACTTTAACCTTACTGTTAGATCCATTTTCTAATAAAATGTTAATTTGAAAAAAGATAATATTATAGATATTAAAAAAGATAAAGACCAATACAGTATACTAATGTATATATATGGAATTCAAAAAGATGGTAATGATAACCCTATATGCAAGACAGAAAAAGAGACACAGATGTACAGAACAGACTTTGGGACTCTGTTGGAGAAGGCGAGGGTGGGATGTTCTGAGAGAATAGCATTGAAACATGTATATTATCTAGGGTGAAACAGATTACCAGCCCAGGCTGGATGCATGAGACAAGTGCTCAGAGCCGGTGCACTGGGAAGACCCAGAGGGATGGGATGGGGAGGGAGGTGAGAGGGGATCGGGACGGGGAACACATGTAAATCCATGGCTGATTCATGTCAATGTATGGCAANAACACATGTAAATCCATGGCCGATTCATGTCAATGTATGGCAACAACCACTACAATATTGTAAAGTAATTAGCCTCCAACTAATAAAAATAAATGGAAAAAAAGATAATATTAAAAAAAGGTAATATTATTGTGAATAATAATGATGGCAACCATTTCCTGAGTGTCCGTAAGTGCTTAACGCAGTTCCAGATGCTTTCACATGCATAATCTCGCTTTGACATGGATTCTGTTGTTATTCCTGTTTTACATACGAGCCTCAGTTTCCCTTTTTTCTTTAATTCTTTCTTTGTTGGCTGTGCTGAGTCCTTGCTGCTCCGTGCTGGCTTTCTCTAGGTCTGGAAAGTGGGGCTACTCTCTAGTTGTGGTGCGAGAGCTGCTTACTGCAGGGGCGTCTCTTGTCATGGAGAATGGACTCAAGAGTGTGGCTTCAGTAGCTGCAGCTCACGGCCTTTGCTGCCCTGTGGCATGCAGAATCACCCTGGACCAGGGATTGAACCTGTGTCCCCTGAATTGGCAGTTGGATTCTTAACCACTGGGCCACCAGGGAAGTCCCCAGTTTCCTTACATGTATATAAAACTGGGGTAATAATGATGCCTCTTTCACAGTATAAGAATTAAATGAGCCTATGCAGGTAAAGTGCATAAATATGTACCTTGGGCCTACGTACAAAATAAATATACAATACATGTAGCTATTAACTTTCTTCATGGAATAAAAGTGTGATTCATTCTTACAGTACTGTATTTTAAGAATGGATTAAAGGTAAAAATATGTAACTGAAGACTATTTGCTGACTTTTGTGATTCTGAACCTGTAGAAGGTTCCATGCTGTAGTTTTTAATGCCTACCCTTCGTCTTTCCTTCAAGTCATGAGCAATTTTCCATAGGACTGAAAAGATAGACCCACATCAAATATTTTATAAAGTTTAAAAATAGTGTTGCTTTAATCAGTTTGACTCTCTGCTATGCATTAAAGGTTAGTAAAAATAGCCTATAATTAGTGGATGTGAACTTTGGGTCCAATAGCCTAACTATGGACTATGAGATAAGAAAACCTAAACATATTTAAGAATTGCTAAGTAATAAGTGAAGGTGAAAGTTACTCAGTTGTGTCTGACATTTTGTGACCCCATGGACTATGCAGTCCATGGAATTCTCTAAACCAGAATACTGGAGTGGGTAGCCTTTGCCTTCTCCAGGGGATCTTCTCAACCCAGGGATCGAACCCAGGTCTCCCCCATTGCAGGCAGATTCTTTACCAGCTGAGCCACAGGGGAAGCCCTAGTAGTGAGATCATGTGCTATCTTTGTGGCTACATGTAGATCCTATTTTGAACCTATTAACTGCAGGGTCTTTTAATAGAATACTTTCAATCATAATAAATATTATCTAGCAAATTAAGGTACCACCTTTATAAAAATAACCATCCATTCCAACTCAGAAACAGGAATCTGAATTTAAACAATCAAAAATACAGCTTGGCCTAATTTTTCTACTGGTGAAAGATTAATTATGCTGCATATCTAGCATTAACCAAGATATTTCTTTTCTCAATTAAAAAAAATTTTTTTTTTGCTACAAAGAGGTGATAATGAGAAATACTGTGGCTTGGGAGTCAAGAGTTAAAGCTCATTCTTTCTTGACCTTTTAACTTTTGTGGATGTACTTTTTGAATTAGCAGAGTTGTTCTGATGATGTTCTTTATTCTACTTTATTTCTGCTTGCCAGAATGCCTGCTGCTTTTGCTGATGAAGCAGTGTATCCTATGCTGTATATTTTATCATTTCCCTCTTCATGTAGCTTGAGCATCAGATGTGCGTGGAATAAGGATGGCAGTTCAAGTGGAGACATGTGCACTGAGAGTTTACAAGGTCTGTGTGTTTAATTTATGTGGTCTGAAGAAATGAAATCGAATGGGAAGACAAAATATGTTTTACATTACCTGGATTTGCTCAAAGGGTACTTCAAAGCTGAATGACTCATTGTAGTAGGGGTTAAGTGTATTCTTTTTAATTGTTGTCTTTTTCTTCTTCAGCCTCTTGCCATTCTGCATCAGATGAATCTTCACATAAGGATCTGAAAAATAGAAACAAAAACATTAGTTCAGAGACACATATTTTAGATTATAATTGAGTTTATAAAAAGTAAATATTTCATATAGGAAAGTAATTGTGTAGCATATATTTAGTATTTTTAAAAATTTCAAGTGTTTCTTGTTGAAAGATTTTAGGTAACCTATGGGCCATGTGTTTTTTGGTCATGATATCTCAATGTTTATAGTTGGATTTAGGAGATGAGAGCAGTGGTGTGCTGGTAAACCTCCTTTTTGGGAAAAAAGTCTCGACATAGCATTTGCTAATGTCTGTGGTATAAATATTCTCAGCATGGCCAATTTCAAGCTAACTGTTTAACAACTGGCTTAGTAAATTCCTGAAAATTTAGCAGTTGGCAAGCTGGCAACTCATAAGCTGTCAAGAAACTGTCTGCAGTATACCACTGCATGGGAATAAAACTTGACAGAGAGGACAAAGGAGCCGTTTTGTTCTTTCACTTATTCATCTGCTCAAACAATAATAGGCCCTAGGGATATAGCTGTGAACAAACCAGACCATCCCTGTTTTTAGGATAGAACTTCAGCCTTGTAGGAGAAATAGGCGATGAACTTAGAAATTATAACTTGAGAAGAGTGCTCTGGAAGAAAGGGGCAGATGTATGATAGAGACTCCCGGGGTGGTCTGAGCGTAAGGGAGGAGTGGAATCATATGGTTAGATCAGTTAGATCCCTTTCTGCAGAGGGAACATTGAAAGTGAGATGTGAATACTGACGGGTGAGAAGAGGCTATGTGTCTGAGTGTGTATGCGTGTGCGTGTGAGAGCGATATCCAGGATCTGTGTCAGAACATCTCTAGTAGAAAAGAGCTTTACGGGTTCAAGGAAAAGTGAATAAGCTGGGAGCACCCCCAAAAGTAATGAGAAAAGGAGCAGGGTAAAGATTCCCTTAGCAGTTTCCCAAGTCTCATTGCTAAGTAAGACAATGGAGGGATAAGATGGTTCTCATTACTAACAGATGAATGACCTCCCTACAGGTTATTAAGAACCAATGCCCAAGTTTGATAGTAAAGTCTACTGTTTCCTGAAACATTTTTCCATCTGATAGGTAATGCATGTTCATTACAGAAAAATATCAGGGGGCAATGATAAACAGAAAGAGGAAGAAATTTTAAATCATCCATGATTTTACTCCCCTGCCATGCCTTCCAAAATTTCTTTCCTTTCTTTCAGAACATGGAGAGCTGTAAGAAACGTTACAGATAATCTAGTCTAATGCCCACGTACTTTTAGAAAGTACAGCTGCAGACCAGAGAAGGTGGTTTTTATCCCCCTCTTCCAATCCTCCAGTAGAACATAACTTCTGAAGGACAGAAAATTTGTCTGCCATATTCACTAATTGAATTTACTAAACAGTGCCCAGAAGTATTCACTTTTTATTGAATAAAAGAGTGGAATTTATGTAGGGCCTAATAATCTGGGTCTCCTTCCCATCGCCCCAAAGCCCAGATTACTTGTATATGTATAGTCTGCATTTTTTGTTTTTAATGTTACATCCAGTCAAGGGACTTGCAATTAAGATTTTAATCAAAATGAAGAATATCTTTAAAAGCCAGACCAAGAAATGAGAAACCAAGTGTGTCAACTAAATAGTTGGTCAGTTAAAAAAGTACACTGTGAATACTTGCAAATGAAGAGGAAAATGAGAAAAGCCTGCTGTTCTCAGGCAATGCTGATTTTTGGTACAGAGACCCGCCTTGCCTACCAAGTTCCCTGTCTTCTCCATCACAGTCCCTTACACTGTATAAAGGTGGTCAAGTCTCCAGGTGCTTCTTGGCATTGACAAAATACCGAAGTACTAAGCACTCCCAAATCAGTGTTTATGGCTCCTGTGTTCACGTGTTGAAACTTCATCAACCTAAGGCACAGGGTTTTTCAAGACAAGCATGGTGACTATATGTTTATTTTCTTAACATAGTAAATGACAAGAAAATTCCTTGTGCATCTGCCATTTGAGCAAGCAAATTAAAAACCAAGACCCTTTCAGATTTCAATATGATCTCTGATGTGACCAATGCCTGCAGGAGAACAAGGTGACTCAGAAAAACTGATTAGCTAGGTTCTCACTGACTGAGGGGGCCAGGTAACAGGGGGCTGAGTAACAGGAAGGAGTCAGTCATCGGAAGGTGTGGGGGCAGCGTGAACCAGCCAGAAGGAACCTTACATGCTGAACCCTAAGGCGCTCGTCTTTCCTCGTGTTTGTGAATCACGAAGGCAAGGGGGAGAGAGGCGGGTGGTGAGGTCAGGGAGGTAACACTGTCAAAAGCAGAATCTGCCAGTTCCCACCCCAATTCAGAAGTACTCTATAATTTGATGACCCCTACAGAGCGCTGGGACAGGAGCAGGTTTGGGGCTGTATGAATGGGCAGCGGGAGGCTTTGCCTTTGCAGATTCATCCTGATACAGGCACCAAAACCACTTACTTTATAGGCAAAATTCCCAGCTTAATCATAACCAAGACTGGCTGTAATTCAAAGGTATTTTTCTCTTTTTTTCTTCCCAGATTTATTGAGATATAGTTGACACATAACACTGTGTGAGTTTAAGGTGTACAATGGGATGACTTGATGTACATATGAGAAGTGATTACCACAATAAGGTTAGTTAACACAACTGTCAGTTCATATAATTACAACTTTTTTTTTGTGGTAGGAGCATTTAAGCTCTACTATCTTAGCAACTTTCAAGTATAGAACACAACATGGTGACCATGCTGTCCATTAGATTTCCCAGAACTTACCCATCTTTTACCTAGAAGTTTGTACCTCTTGATCAACAACTTCTCACTTCCCTCGCTCCTCAGTCCCTAGCAATCACTATTCTACTTTCTGCTTCTAGGAGTCTTTCTTTTCAAAAGATAGATTCCACATCCACATAAAAAATAGATTCCACATGCACAAAAAGGGAGATAATGCAGCATTTGTCTTTCTCTTCTTTTAGCATAATGCCCTTGAAGTTCATCCATGTTGTCTTCTTTTTTTGTGTGTGGCTGAATAATACTCTGTTGCATATATCATACTTTGATTATCCATTTCTCAGTTGACAAACACATAGGTTGCTTCCACGTCAGACAGTTGTGACTAACGCTGCAGCGGACATGTGAATGCAGACATGTTTTTGAGACAGTGATCTCCTTGACTTCAGTTGCACCCCCAGGAGTGGAATCGCTGCATCATTCGGTATCTCTGTTTTTAATTTATCTTGAGGAAACTCCATACTGTTTTCCATAGTGGCTGCACAAACCCGTGTTCCCACCAACAGCACGTGAGGGTCCCCTTCTCTTCACATCTCGAGGCTTGCACTCTCTTATCTTGCTGATGCTCGCTATTCCAGTAGGTGTGAGGAGATACCTCACTATGGCTTTGATTTTTATTTCCCTGATTATTAGTGATGATTAGCATCTTTTCCTGGATCTGTTGGTAATTTGTGTATCTTCTCTGAAAAAATTTCATTCATAACCTCTGCCCATTTTTAATTGGATTTTAAAAATTTTACCTTTGTTTTTTGCCATTGAGATGTATGAATTTCTTATATATTTTGGATATTACCCCTTTATCTGACATATGGTTTGCAAATATTTTATCCCACTCCATAGGTTGTCAGAAGTCCTCTTTTTCAACTTTTGTGCTTGGATAAATCTTGACTGTCTAAGCCCAACAGGTTATGTACCCAAGGTGGTCACCTTTGAGCATCTTCTCTGTCCAATCCAAAGTCTTACATTAATTCTCCATTTTTTCTACTCTTCTCCATTTTCATCCACTCTTTGATTGGCTTAATTTCATAAGTGTCCTCTGGTTGAAGTCTTGCCCTGAATTCTGGTCCCTTTGGAGATGGCTCTAATCACTTGATTAGTTCACTAGCAACTTCTTTGGGAACCTAAACCTTGCTCCTGTCTCCCTAAGTATGGCTGAGACTTCTTAATGGAAATCTAACCACCTAACTATGAGACACACCATGCTTTAAGGACACCCACATTTTTTACAGTAAGGATTAACTCTTCTGTAAAGTAGAACTCTGTATACTTAAATTTGGTCTGTTTTAGGTACTGGTTGTCAATTTAGTTTCTTAATGGCTTAGAAATCTTGGTCGTTGCATGACAAGACATAATTTTATGGAAATGATGAAATAGGCTGTAATGAGACTCCCTAACATTGCCACTGCTCTTGAGTACAGCTACTAGACAGCATGCATGGCATCCACATGTCCATTAGGTTTTTGTAAACCTGTAAATACCGCAAGGGAATAGGCAAGCTACAAAGTTGGGCTGCTGTCCTCAGGAACTCCATATCTCTATGACTCCACAGCTTATTTTCTGTTCCCAGAACAAGTGCTCATGGAATCCTTCATGATCTAAATACTGACAACCCTCCTTCAACACCATTTAGATAATCCCTATTGCTATTGAAACAGGTGCAAAACTTGGGATGGTTGGCTTTTTATTTGTTTAATTTAATCCTAAAAAGGGGGTGGGATCTTTTTGTTTTTCTCACTGTGGCAGAAATGAAGAGCTCTTTTCTGATATCCATCCAGCTCTAATAGTATATGTTTCTAACTTTTCAGTGCTAGAGAATGATGCGCTAGCATCAGAAGGAAGGCGCTTCCCTCCCAGTGATAAGCTGCCGACTCATCGCCACATTCTGGGTGGTTTTCAGGTGTCATCTTGCTGTCACTGGGGCGCTGCCGCCTTCACTCGCCATTTGTCAGGTTTGCTTTTTGTCTGAAATCAGTCTAACTGAACTCTGCCTCCTTCTGTCACAATAGCTGTTGTAACCTGGGGGGATTTTAGGACACTGTAGTAAAATCACCCTCAAACTTTTATATGTTGACAGTCCTCCTTCATATAAAATTTAGATTTTTTGTTCCTAACAAAAACAATTATGGGAGAGAGATAGTTCCCTCAAAAGATATCCAATATCAAAAGATATTGGAATTTGTTAATATGTCACCTTATATAGCAAAAGAGACTTTGCAAATGTAATTAAGGTTAAGGAT